CTTTCATGTATAATTATTGAACGAACATTTTTTTTTATTTAACAAACTTGGTGAGAACCATTAGTTTCGACAATTACAATAAACATATGAATATATAATATTTACTAAATTAGAAAAACATTRATTTTTTTTTAAATWTAAATTATGAAACCAGTCTGGTTGAAATTAAGTGTGGATAAAATAACAGATTGAGAATTGCAGGAAAGGATTGATTGAGGATTGACTGGAATATTTAGAGAATTAATTAAGTAGAGAAAGCATTTGCGTTGGGAGAAGATATATGTGCAGTTAAAAAGGATGTGAGTGATATTATAAGTGGTAGGGGTGGAATGGCGGGTGAAGAGGGAGGGGGGATCATTAAGGCCGAGCTTAAATGCGAAGGTAGTAAGGTGTATCCGAAGCGGAGGCTTGAGAAAGAGGAAATATTCTTGCGAGATAGTTTAGATTTATCAAATCAAGGGAGAGGAGAAATGGATAGTGCAATACCTCTGTACCAAGAAAAATTAAAATTAAAGCGAGTAGTTTTTTAGTTATATAACTGATTGAACTAAAGATTATATGCCTATGATAATGTGTTAAGTATACATTGTAGATTGGGTGATTTGAAAATATTAGTGATTTTTGTTAAGTCATCAATATAAGTAATTTGTAAAAATATCCAAGGACTAAGGATAATAATGACTACATATATTATATCATATAGGCTAAGTTTTTATAAAAGTACGCATTAAATCATAGAGCAAACAAATATATTTCCAAGATTAATATTATTCTTACTTTTATCCATCAGACATATAAAAAGTAATCTACATAATATTAACATAAGGTATTTACTTATTTAAAAACATTTTCAATGAATGAGCTATTTAATTTATTATAACAAAATAAGAAAAATGTAATAGAAGGATTTAACCAGTTTTTATTTTATATAATGAATCGTTCTTCTACTTCTATGTGTCTTTTCCCAACAAGATTTTATATACTCAGAATTGAAATAAGATCATATTTTAAAAAATTATTTTGCTCACATTTTTCACTTGTTTTTCTATTTCTTTTTTTTATCAAATTAAATTTTTCATCAATAGTTTCACATCTAGAACTTTTCATTACCTATATCATATAATTTTTGTCTGGATATCAAAACATTGTTTTCGAATTCATTCCTATACACATACATTTTTAAGTTACTTAATTATGACGTTTGTTTTTATTGGGCGCCCGGAAAGTGGGCCATGTTTACCTTCTTTTAAATTTTACATTTATAATAGGTAGACTCGAAAATTGGGCTATTATTAAATTTTAAATTTTATAGTAATAATTTAGATTATTTTTCATTTACATTTCAAAAATCGTTTCTATATATCGCATCCAAATATACATAATTTTTTTAATGTTTTATTGCAACTTGAATCAGAAGTTTATATTAATATTAGAAGTGTATAGGAACAATAAAAACAATAAAAAGAACTTAAGTTCCACAATAAATGT